ATATACTACTATTTGATGAAACAAAATCAAATAATATATTAATCAGTAATAATATATTGGGTAATATATTACTTAATGTTTTAGCTGAAGTATCGAGTAATGTATTACTCAATATTTCAGCTAAAGCATCAAGTCATGTATCATTATTGCAATCATCTTCAGCAACTATACAAAGTTCTCTGCTATCTATTAATACTAAGGCAATCCTATGTATACATTTAGAAGAAATTAATTAACAATGTTAATAAAAAAATCAACCAAAAATAATATACCAATGTATGATTATCTGTGCTTATTAAGCATAAGTCAGTATATACAGTTGTTGTTAAAAGGTCAAGATAAAATAAGCGCAAGTTTTTAAGTTGCCTGAAATATATAAAATAAAGGTGATTATAAAGCAAGATGTATCTGAAAATAGGATGATTATTATTTAGAGTCTGAGAACTTTTTTCTTATAATCAAAGAAAATATAAAAAAGTCTTAAACTTACTTAACAATGAAGTCTTCTCAAACAAATATCAGAAATGGTTGCAGCAACAGTCTCCAGAGTCATGCTCTTCAAGGGCCCTAAAGATGCATATTGAAAAAGTATTATTACCAAAAATAGTGCATACAAAAAATATAATTTCTGAAAAAACATGTCAAGTGTATATGCATACGTTAGAATTATGTTATCATTCTATTGATTTATTTAATAAAAATTAGAATAATCAATAGAATAAAATTTCTATTGGTTTTATTGATTTTATTAAAAATTCTATTAAGTTGGCAATAAAAAAATTCTATTGGTGTCAATAGAGCAATAGAACTAATAGAATAGAATCTATTATTTTATTCATGAATAGAATAATTGCCTTTTTTAGAAAACTTAAAAAACTGGTTTTATATTTGTATTACAAACATAATTTATACATTTTTATTATATATGTATCTAATCTGTAATTCTTTACTATATCTAATCTATAGTTTGCTTAATATCTTTATAATGAAACATTATAGTGGCAAAGCTCCTTATAGACTTACACCATATGTAGAAGTTTTACAAACCCATGTAAATAAAGTTAACAAAGCCACTGTATATAAAGCTTGTATTAAGAAATTAGAAAGAGAAACAGCAATTGAAAGATCTATTTTTACTAATACAAAGGCTTGTATCAAAGTATATTTAAAAAAATGTCAAAACTTTTTTAAAAAATATACTGAGGAAGAAAGAAATGAAATTCTCTATAGGTTAGATAATGAAACTCAAGAAATAAATACAGTTGTATCTACAAATTCAGCTATAAGTTTATCAACAAATTTAAGTTTTATTTCTACTTCTTCTACTTCTGAACCAACTACTAAAACAACTAAAACCAAAACACATGCTATACAGCATACAAAATCATGATTATCAAAAGGTTTAATAGATAATCACCTTATTCGAGATTTAAATCTAGCTAAGTATATAATTTTTGAATAATACCTTTTAAAGTCTACAATTAGTAATGGATGGGCATTTAGGTGGACTGAAAATCCTGAGATCGTTGCACTTTTTAACTTTCTAAATCCAAATATAACATTACCCAGTCACTATACACTTAGTGGACATATATTTTCATCATATAGTGAAGAGTTGCAACGTCAACATGTTGTGAAAGCTAAAAAAAGTGAAATTAGTAATACTCTTATATTTGATAGCTGGAAAAATGCCAGTTTTCAAGAAATTTTAGAAAGTGTCTTAATTACTAGCAAAGAAAAAGTTTTAGTATAGAGTGCTAAAGATATTTCAGTAAAAGGTGGCAAAACAAATAATGTTATAGAAATAATTAAAAATTTTTTTATACGAGCTGAAATAAGTAATATTAAAATCATCACCATTGTTATAGATAGTGCTTCTGCATATGCAGCAGCAAGGTAAATACATATAATTAAAATTTTATTTTAAATATATATCAATATATATAAATAAATAATTTTATTTAGGTGTCGAATGCGATTAGAATATACTGATCAGATATTTATTCCATGTTTTGTTCATCAAGCGAACCTTTGTGTCACTGATATTTTTAAATCATCACCTAAATATAAAGATGCATCAACAAAAGCTATTAGTATTGTTGCATATTTTACTGATAGTAGGCATTCTTACTAGATTGGTAAATTGCATGAAGAACAAAAAAAATTATATAGACAATACTATTGTCTTGTAAGGCCAGTAAATACATGCTGGAATAGTTACTACTTTTGCTTTTCTTCATTAACTCATAATAAGAGAGCCCTAAAAGTATATATATACTATATTTTTTTTAATCTTTTTTATAAATTTATGCTAATGCTAAAATATAATAAATCAATAGGCTCTTTATTTACAATATCAGGATTTACTAGAAAATATTGCAAAATTTTTAGATGACAATAATTGGTGGCAAACAGTAGAAGAGCTTAAATCACATTTGCTTCCCTTTATGGCAACATTAAATCATCTTCAACGGGATGCTGCAAGATTACCAAATGTTCTTCATTCATTCGCATATTTTATGCAATTATATAAAAATTAACTGGATAGTTTTAGTAAAAATATGGTTCAATGCTTAGAGTCACGGTGGAATCAATGAAAGCAGCCTTTGCTGCTACTTTCTTTTTTTCTTTATCCAGCATATTGTAGTAAAGTTTTTAATAGTTATTCCTTACTAAACTTACTTCAAGTTGGTTTGTAGATACAGTATTACTACAAAGCATGGTTTAAAATCTCACTAGTCATTATATTATCAGAATTTTCAAAATTTATGTCAAAGAAATATCTGTTTGATAATGGAATGGCTTCTAATTTTGCCAATATTTAGGATTATTGGAATTTTTTTGCAGGTGCCACAAAAGAATTAGGCATGCTTGCAATCCATTTATTCTCAATTTGTATTAATTCTGCATCATGTGAATGCCTATTTTCAACAATGGGCTTTTTTCACAATTCACAGCACATCAGATTACCAGTAAATAAATTTATATTATTGTTATTATTATATTTTAATATCAATATACTGAACTAAAATTTTTTACTCTTAGCTTGATAAAGTTTTTTCAATGACACAAATGCATGCTAAAATTAATTATAAATACACAATTGAAGCAGCAAAATCTCTAGAGCAAAACATATCAGCAAACATAAATACTATATTTGGTTCTTATAATCGTGAATACACACAAACAAATTATGATAAACAAGAAAGTTCTAGTATTTTAGAATTAGAAACTAACACTAATAACGAAAATGCAAAAATGATTGATAATTCAGAATCAAGTGCAAATGAAGATATTAGTGATGAATAGAAAGCAGTTCTTAAAGAATGGTTTGAGGGTCTTGTTTTCAAAGAAGAAAGTGTAGAAGAACTAGAAAGTTTGTTTAAAACAGAAGAAACAGAGGAAACAGCGAATTTATCTTCAAATGAATTATTAGTAGGTTTGAAACATCCTGCAGAAGACCCTACAGGAAAATGGAAACTTGCCAATTTATTTGATTTCAAGTTTTCAACACTCTCATCTATAAAAAAACTGATGATAATTCAAGATAATTCAAGATAATTGATGCAATTTGTTTTAAAACATCACAATTCTTCTTTTTTTTTCAGCTTAGTTGTTTTGTTCTAAGTGAAAAAAAATCAAATAAACAAGTAATTTTGATTTGTAAGTAATTATTGATTAGTCTAATATTCTATTTCAAATGATTTTTTAATTTAACTTTGTAGTAAGAATTAAGGCCATCTTTTTTGATGTGAGTATAAAATTTTTTCTTAGAATTATTTCATTTTAAAAATTCTTAAATTAATATTTACTAATTGCATTAGCATAAGTAACGATAAATATAAAACATTTTTGGAATTAGTAGTTTACAAGATTCAATATTCTCTAATAATTTCACACAATTTAATAGGACATAAATTTAAATATTAAAGTGTAAACCATTGTAATAAGACCTTAATTGGTATTTATACTCAGATCAGAATCCACATTGACATTTAGTACTCAACGAGTGTATAAAATTTTATTACTTTTTACACTATGCATTTCATAATATTGTTATAGTAATCTCTTAATTAAGAATAACTTTGCAAAGTCTGGTTCAGATTGTCAGATAGGTAGGTGGCTTTACAAGTCTTGTTTTTTTGAAATTTACAATAGTTTTTTGAGTAGCTTTACTAAATCTTTACTTGACAATCGGACTGTTTAAATAGGTAGAATTAACTAACATCAACATATAGTAGTTTATTTTCTGGTGCACTTGTATGAACAATACAAGTAATGTTTTACTACAGGAATCAGTCAATTTATAGAACTATTAAGCAAAGATTTACTTATGCAAGATTTCATTATTATGTGTTTTTTCCATGTTGGGCATATTTCAATTGAGGTATAACATGTACATGTATCTGGATTTATGATTGACATTTATATTTAAAGTTATTAACTAAAGTTTTGTAAAAAAAATAAATAGTAGCACGTGGAAACATAAATCTGAAAGGCAAAGCTGTGTCAAAAATTTGCAGTATTGGCCTAGAAAAGTTCCAGATGAGGAGGAGCAATTCGAAAGAGAAAGGACCTAAGTTAACTAGTATTAAAAGGTAGATATAATAGAAAAAGAAGCTTTAGACCGCAGGCTGAGAAGGTTAAAGAAGGCAAAGAAAACTGGTTGTCTTGAAGTAATTGATAAAGGACAAATACATTTTGAAGAAAAGAATCAAGATATTGAAATAAAAGTAGAGAATAAAGGTAATGATTTAGCACTTTGCCAGCAATATTTAAGAAATAGCGTATTAGTAAAATGAAAACAAAAAGAAAGATTAAGGGCCATAAAAAAATCAGAAAAAACTCAGACCACTTAAACAAAAGAGCAAGTATTCATCATATCATTATATTTTTCATAAATTAGTTTTATATAAGTACTAAGAGAAAACCTGTCACTAGGCTTTCAATTATATTTTGTACTAGACACAATATATTTAATTTATTAGGAAATATGTTCATACAAAATATAATTGAAAGCCCGATGACGTTTCTCTTTGACAGCACTTATATAGTCATTCAAATCATTGAACATATTCTAATGCATTGTAATATATAGAAAAGTGAAATTGAAAACATACTGGAGTATGAAGTATGTGACTAATTCAGAACATGCATTGAGGAAATTATTGAAACCTGTATTTATTTCAAAGTACGTGCTATAATTTAGGCAACAGTATAAATTGTAAATTACTTAAAGAGCTAATTGTTAATATTTTTTAGAGCATATAGGAAAACAATACTAGAAAAGGAATGATCAAAAAAATTAGAAGAAGCAAAGAGATTGCTAGAACTAAAAGAGAGGAAAAAAGAGTCATGTTTAATGGTCACTGAAATAATTTGGAAAGAATCACAAAAAACTAATAAATGTCTTTTAATATGTAATAGTTATATCCTAAGCAGTTGGATATAAGTAGAATTTGCAGTAAGTATAATCGGCCATGTAGGCAGCTGATTATCCTTTACTACAAAATTTCACTTATATCCAACTACACAGGATATAACTAATTTATCTTCTGCCATCTACATAGCATAACTTTCATATACTTATTTTAGAGTGAAACTCTTATTTTACACATTGTTTTTGATATTTAAAATCAAATAGAATAATATACTCGATCATCTAAATTAAATAGATATATGCTCAGTAGAAATAAGTACATGAAAAAAGTTATATAGATGGGGTTGGCTAGGGGATAAACGGTTTTTATGTACTCGTTTGTATGCATATTAAACTATGAAACTTGTAGCTTATGAAAAAAAAAGTATTCATAAAATCGATGATACAGGTGGTCTAGATGAAAAGGCAGGATGCGAAGCATAGAATTAAAAAGAACTAAAAGAGATAATGAACATAAAGCATATGCTGAATTTATTTAGTAAAAGAATCTTTTGCTATTAAAATGATACTGCATCTTATTATCATACATATATTTTTTTTAGAAGAAAAAGCAAAGAAAACATTGGATGAAGACATAATATAAACTAAAAGCAATATTATAAAAATTTTTACATAGACTTGTATATTAGTAAGCTATCTCTGTGCGAAACATCTAGACATTATTATTTTAAAACTTTAAATGATTAAATTTTAATCTAACTAATGCAAATGGTATCTCACTATGTAGAGAGGGTTCAAAAAAAAATATTATTAATTATATAAAAATGTTAAAAGTTTCACAAATACATATAAAGAATGTATTATGTAAATTGTAATCTAATAAACTCAAGTTTATCATATTTATCCAAAATAATGTTTTACAAAAAAAACTAATATCTGATTGGTCTAAATTAGAATAACTTGATAAGTTGGCATTTAGTATATTCTATTGGTAAAAATAGTTAATAGAACAATAAAACAATAGAATAGAATATAGATCTATTGGACCAATAGAAAAATTGTGACAACACTGGTTAGAATATAAGTATAATGAAAGAAAAAAAGATGTATATTATGATGAACACAAGTGGTCAGACATAGTAGAATATAGAAAAAGGTAGTTAGAGAGGATGTTTTGTTATAAGATGCATATAAAAGACTTTGTTGGTGATATGCTAGAAATAGTTATAAATCATAAACTTGAGACTGATAAAAGAGAATTTGTACAAATAACATATGATAAATGTCACTTTTTATGCCAATGATAGATAGCATAGAATTTGGACTATAAAAGATAAGAATGTTTTATATCTAAAACATATGGATTATTCCATAATGGTTTTAGCTTTTATATGCCCATGCCATGGGTTATTGCAGCTGTTTGAAGAGCAGTTTCAGAAAAATCTATATATTGAATATAGGGAAGTTCTCATTATTCACTTTGTATAAGTGAATGGATATTGGAATGCAAAACATATGTTAGAACAGGTTTTTTTTTTTTAATATTAATCTATTACTAATTTTTAGTATAATTATTATTTATAAATGTAGCTTTTATAAAGAGCAATACCTATATTTGAGATATTACATCCTGGATGTGTGGGCATTTTCTGCTTTGATTAGTCAACAAACTATAACATTATGGCAGTGGATGCATTAGTTGCAACAAGGATGAACAAAGGTCCTAAAGGAGTACAACCTAAGATGTGTAACAGTTGGTATATTGATATGTATGGAGAGAGGCATGTTCAAGAAATGATATTTCCAGATGATTACCTATTGCAACAATTAAGAGGAAAACCAAAAGGAATCCAACAAATACTTGAAGAACAGAATCTTTAGCTAGTTGAAGGCATAAATTTGGTATGTGACCAGTGTGCTAAAAGAAGTAATAAAAAAAATGAAGATGATTTTGAAGAATTGAATTACTGTGCATAAAGAATCATTTTATTACAGCTGGACTTCTGTGAACAGCAGTTAATATTAGAAGAAGCCATTGTTAAAAAAGGTCATATTTTTGAACAATACTCTAAGTTCTATTGTGAATATAACTTTATTGAACAATGTTAGAGTTTTGCCAAACAAGAACTTAGAGCATCATGTAGTAATAATTATAATACCTACTAAAGTGACTTTTAGAAGTTCTTTATAGCATTCCAACAGCAATTATTGTAAGTTTGCCTATAAATAATAGAGGTATATAGATGTCTACTATAAAAGGTTAAAGGGTAGAATAGCTGAATGGGCTGTCAATAAGTTTAAATCCACTGTTGCTTGTCTAAAAATATAGAAAGAATAATGTAAATACCATAATATAGGTTAAAAAAAAAAAAATACATATTGCTATTTTTTACTAGGTTTTTTTTTTAATCCAATTTTGCAATATCAATCTGGTTTACATATGGATGCTACCCAGGAATTCCAACAATATAACAGAATGCAAGCCTTTAACTGATCTAATTATAATAATCAATTATACTGTTTTTCAATCACATATTAGTATTTTCAAATCCCATAGTCTGTTGTTTAAAAAATTTTATTTTTAGAATTCCTGGTTTTCACTTGGCAGTACTCATATATACTTGTCAGCAAAACCTAGACAAGTTTTAAGCCAAAAAAAAAAATTGCTATTTATAAAAATTAAATAAAAAAAATGGCTTTGATATTTTGCAAATATATTCTATATAATTATAGAATATATTTTATTTGTAAGGTTTTGAGATTAGTTTGGCTATAGTTTGGAATTTGGATATGAACAAACCCAAACTATAATAGTTTATAATTTGGGTGATAAGTATATCCACAGCCAAAATTCAACATTCAGTTCATATGTAAAAGTATATTATTAGGCTAAGTGCTATTAAAGATCAAAAAAAGCATTATTGTTTTACAGTTTAATACCTTTATCAGCAATGTGCATACTTTTCATATATTCTCTCAACTTCTTTTTAATATTTATATAATTCTTTAAAGTAAACTTTTTTAAGACCATATTTTTGTATCTAGGCTTAACTCTTAAAATGTGACTTTAGAATATGACAGAATTTTTTACAGACATGCTATTGTAAACACTGAACATTAGATTAGTCTTGAAATAATGAGTTGTATAATCATCTTAACTTAGTTTGTACCTAGTAAGATAATTGCTTTTATATAAAAGTAGATTTACAAAAAGTTACTTACATGATATTGCCTGTTACTCATATATCAATCAATAATTTTATTGGTTAAAATTGATAATTATATGAAAATGATCATCAGTCAAAATTGAAACATATCATGTAATTGTCAAGTATAGGCTACTAGCATCATATAATTTTTTATTAATATTAAGAAGAATATTAATAATAATTTAAAAAGCAGTTTTATATGATATGTCAGAGTTTTAAACTGTTGATATAAGTAATTTTGAAATAAGTTTTTTGAAAATAAGATTAAGATAAAATGTATTAAATAAAATGTATAAAGAATAGAGAGTTAGATAATAAAAGATTTTATAAATTTAGTTATTTTTTAGGGAAATTACAAATAAAGGCCCAAAAAATAAAAATAATTACAGATAAGGGCCTGAATTGAAATTAATTATATATTGGGGCCTAATTTTTAAAAACTATTACAAATACGGGTCCTGGAATTTTGATGCATAAAAAATGAATATGTAATTAAATCATTTCATTATCAATACAAGACAAAAATATATTCTCTTTCGTTTAATCTAATAAACTTGTTTTTTGTTCTTTTATAAGCCTAATTGCAAGCCATCATTCGTCTTTTATTATTATAAAAATTCATTATCGCTATGCCAAGTACAATACTGCAGGTTGGGATGACATTTACTAATATGGAAAGTGTCAGATCAGCTCTGGATAATTACTCCGTTGAATCTTCTTTACCTTACAAGTTCAAAACTAATAAGCCAAACAAGCTCTTTGTTGTCTGTCCTACAACTAATATCAGTACATGCCCATTTACTATCTCTGCCAACAAACGTAAAGATGGCTATATTCATATTGTGAAGTTAATTCAACATGATCAAAATTGTTCAACATTTACACAGACATTTGAAGCACGTGGATCATACCTTAGAAAATTTGCTGAACCATTAATTGAGGATATTGCTGCGCTTAAATCTCATGATATTGTAAACCATGTTCGTTCAGAAGTAGGAGCTGAATCATCATATATGGCGGCATGGAGAAGTCTAACTACTAATAAAAAATGTAAAGCAGAGGAAATCAACAGAACTTATCAATATATAAAATCATTACTTGATTGTTTAGTTATAGCAAATCCTGAAAGTGTTGTTTCGTTTGAGGTTAATACTGAAGACCATTTTGTTCGTGCATTCCTTTGTCTACAATCATGGATAAAAGCTGCAGAATTCTGTAGAACTGTATATACTCTTGATGCATGCTATTCAAAATCAACTTATAAAGGTGTGTATTTTTGTGCAAGTGCGATTGAAGGTAAAGGAAAACTTGTTCCAATAGCATTTGCTGTTGGTTCTATTGAAAATTCAGATAATTGGATGTGGTTTTGTGAGAACCTGTATACAGCACTTCCATTAATGAATTCAAATAATTCAGTAATTATAAGTGATCGTGAAAAGGTATCTTATTGAACTATAATATACTTATGTAATATAATAATTTTTTTTTAATTTATCTATTTATTTATTTATTTATTGTTATAGGGTATTGCGGATGCTGTAAAAATCAAACTTCCTAATGCTTTTCATGCGCATTGCATATGGCATATTGAGAAAAATGTTAATACAAAATTTCGAACAAAGCTTGCAGGAAAAATTTGGGCTGCGGCAAAGACATTGCATATAGAAAGTTTTAATGAAATTATGGAGAAAATTTCTAATTTACATGCTGAAGCTGCGGTTTATCTTAAGGAGATACCTCCTGAAACATGGACTCTTTGCAAGTGCCCTCGAAATAGATTCGGGCATCTTACCTCTAATGTATCTGAATCTTTTAATTCTTGATTACATGATGAACGTCTTACAGAACCATTTGAAGCAATTATTTTGCTTATACGTAAAGTCAACACACTCTTTTATAACTATCGTACTGCATATTCCTCAGTAAAGACAACTTTACCACCAATAACTACTCGGCAGCTTCAATCTGTTATTGATAAATGTCATAACAGAATGGTGTATCAAGCTAATGAATCAGTCTTTGAAGTGAAAAGTGATGATAACAATTTTCGTATTGTAGATCTTGCCTTATTAACCTGTACCTGCCAGCACTTTCAGCAGTACCAATTTCCTTGTGTCCATGCTTGTGCTGCTATTCTTAAAAATCACCAGCAACCATCACAATTTACACATTTTACATACCACACTGCTACTCTTAAAAATGTTTATAAGGAGTCTGTTCAACCTGTGGATGTAAAAATGTGTCTTTCTAATAACAAAACATTACTACCAGCTACAATTAGACAGGCAGGTCGGCCACGAAAAATTCGCTTATGTAGTCATAGAGAAACTGCGGTAGAAGATCAGATTACTTGCGGAAAATGTGGTAGTAAAGGTCACAACTCACGCACTTGTGACCGATGACAAAAAAAAGCAATTAAAAAAGCTTAATGCAGCAAACTTTGCTTTTATGCTATTGCGATTTATGTATTTTTAATAGAATATGCGCAATTAATATAACAATAAATAAGCATTTATTAGCGTAACTTGCACTTTGGGCCCATATTTGTAATAGTTTTAAAAATTGGGCCCCAATATATAATTAATTTCAATTCGGGCCCCTATCTGTAATTATTTTTATTTTTTGGGCCTTTATTTGTAATTTCCCCTTATTTTTTTGATAAGTATTAAGATTAGATAATTTGCTAGAGATAATTTAGTTGGTAGATGTTTAAATAATTTAGTTAAGCAAGAGTGCATTAGTACAAATACACTAGTAAAAATAGAAGTTAGCTAGATTATAGTAAAAACAGTTAGTATTTGAGTATTGGTTTAGATAAATAGTATAAAATAGTTGATATAAAATGATAATTCTAGTATAAAGGTTAAGTTGTTATTTTTTAAATAATAAATTTAGTATTCAAATTCTACTTACAACAAAATTTAAAAATTATATATATTATCTTAATATCAAAAAAAAAAATTTATATATATTATAATAATAATGTTTTAGTAAACAATTAAATTAAAAAGAAATCTAATTTTAAGAATATTATTTTTAATAAAAGTTTAGAATTTTATTTTATTTTATTTTATTTTTAAATAATCTTTTTGGTCTTTTGACTTTTTATTAATGATTTTTTTGGTAATGTGATTCAATGAATTACTACAAAAGAGCATATAATTAGTTATATATATAAGTTTTCTATATTATCTATTTAAAAAAGCTGTCTAAAGATTTTTTATCAATTGCTATATCTAACACTTCTGCTTGAATGTTCACTTTAAACCTTCTAAATCTGCAATCTGTATTAAAATTACTAGGTCATATTTAGATATTTAGATAATTGTCTTAATCTTAGAATTATTTTATCTTTAAAATAAACCTTTCAGAGTCTTTTGTATCTAATTTTATAGTTAATCTAGATATTACTATAGCAAACCAATACTTGTGATCAAAATTATATTATTTAACCATTATAGCTTTGTAAAGTTTACACAAATCTCAGTATCTAATTCATAGCATAATCCTAATATTTTAGTATACTTCTGTCTTTTTATCAGATTCTTAATCCAAATAGTTTAAGTAGAACTATGATTAGTCTATTGATATATTAGGTTGATCTGTTATTCTTTTCTTTAGTTTATTCTAACAGCCTAGTTGGTAATATCTTTAAGACTTCCAACCCAAAGG